AGTTTTTGCCATGGATATTTTGTGGGTCAGAAGATAAAAAGTTTGGGAACCACTGCTTTAAAACACATCTACAACTGATGAACTTTTAGGGTCAGTCAGCCCAACTCTAGATGTATACACAACCAGCTGACCTAAAATATAACTCAGTCAGTTTTTATGGGTTTTTACGTAAACCTTGGTGCAGTAATAGCTGAGACTGACCCAGCCTAATCTAATCACTAACACATGGGACAGAAACTAATCAGTGGAGGTTCGTCTACAACTGATTGGCATTTGGAGTCAATTCAAAATGGCTGCCAAAGCTTATTAATATTAGTCAACTCAAAAATGGCTTTAACTCTCAGTTTAACAAATGTTGAAGTGAAATGTGATAGGGTAGTAGCAACACATACTTTGAGCGTGGTACCATCATAATACTGTTGCATCTTCATCATTTCTTAACTTCAGATGTTCTTGGTTAAAATTTGGGCATAGACGATKTGTTCCTTCAGTTAATGCTAGGTTCATTTAATTTGTTTAGGGTGTCCTTGAAGTCAGTAGGTTAAAAGCAAACTAAGCAAACACACACAAATATAAAAGTTTCTTTTGTTTTAGTTTTTTTAGTTACAGGTCAGGGTTGATCTATCCATAAATAAAAGCTTAAATAAAAACCGAGACACTATCAGGAAATGGAATATTGCAATACAATAGTTGTTTTCTCACACCCCAAGTTGTTTATTCATCTTTCAGGTTCTACTGGGACTTCACCATGCTGATGTTCATGGTTGGCAACCTGATCATCATCCCTGTCGGCATCACCTTCTTCAAGGATGAAACCACCACACCCTGGATCATCTTCAACGTGGTCTCCGACACATTCTTCCTCATGGACTTGGTGCTCAACTTCAGGACGGGCATCGTGTTCGAGGACAACACCGAGATCATCCTCGACCCCAAGAAAATCAAGAGGAAGTACCTGAAGAGTTGGTTTGTGGTGGACTTTGTCTCCTCCATACCCGTGGATTATATCTTCCTCATCGTGGAGAAAGGGATCGACTCRGAGGTGTACAAAACGGCTCGGGCACTTCGCATCGTTCGCTTCACCAAGATCCTCAGTCTGCTGCGCCTTCTGAGGCTGTCCAGGCTGATCCGGTACATCCACCAGTGGGAGGAGGTGAGCTCAGCTTCATCATTTATCATCCGGGGTCTGAGTCGTACTTTGACCATCAAAAGTTAGCTTGTATAGGTATTAAATTGCCTGTGACATGCATATCCTTCAAATACAAAAAGTCAAAGAAAACATCTTCATATTTAGGAAACATGGCACAAAACACACGATTTAACCCATTTTATCACATCACTGGCAGATTTTCTTTTGAACTTGTCTCAGCCAAAGTGAAACAGGAAGTGACATCAAAGGGGAACTTTTTCAGAAAGAAAACTCTGGTCTTTGTTTGTTAAAACAATATTATTTGAACTTTGACTCTTCATCTCTCTCTTATTGGGACTCAAAATAATCTAAATAAATGTCCGAAGATTCCCTGCTGTCTGTTTACATGCAGATATTCCCTTTTGACATCACTTCCTGTTACTTCACATGTAAATATCTCAACAACTGTTCATCTCACTGGTGTGAAATTGCTTTTGCAACATGTTATTAATGTTATCTTTCCAAAAATGCATTCACATTTATCACAAAAATTTGATGACACAGGCACTTTAAAATATGATAAGATGAGCTTTTATTAGTCCCACGAATGGGAAATTTAGGTTGTCACAGCAGGCAGTGGACAGTACAAAAACAGAAACAAGAGGATACGGTATAGAACACCATACAATCCAACTTGAAATATAGTATAAACCCTAAAAATAAAAATAAATGCATATACAGAATACAAATGTGTGTGTATATACACACACATACATGCATACTCCCACAGTCACTTTCTGTCCRCAGCAGAGATGCTGCTGCCTAGCAGCCCACACCAAAAAAAATGGACGATGCCACCACAGAGTCATAGATGGTCCTCAGGAGTGGCCTCTGTGCTCCAAAAGACCTGAGCCTCCCCAGCGGGTAGAGCATAATCTGTCCTTTTTGTAGATTATTTTTTGTGTTCTTAGTCCAGTCCAGTTTATTGTTCAAATGAACCCCAAGGTACTTGTAGCTGTCCATAGCCTCAATGTCCATACCTTTGATGTTCAGTGGTTGCAGCGGAGGATGTTTGTGCCTACCGAAGTCAACCACCAGTGTTTCTTTTTTTCTTATAATGTCATTTCCTCATCAAAACCCAGAGTGTTGCTTTGACTCATTCGTGCATCTTTGAGAAATCCTTGAATCTCCTGTGGCTATGTGGAGCTGCCAAAACGCTTGCTGGTACAAAGCTCCGCCTATTTGTACGCAGCACCTCCATGGAGCTCAGTCCCCAGCTGAGCTCTCGCCCCACTGTTCTGAAGTGGGAGCGAGAAACTCTGCCTGACAAGTTAGTCTTGAATAAAAAAACTAAAGAAGGAAGGAAATTAACTACTGACACAACCTTTTTAGAACAAACGATCAAAAGGAAACTCTTTCAGACATAAAACAAAACTACACAAATCAAAACAAGTGAGATTTCTGGGGTCTGCGTCCAGAAACTTATAATCCTTTTCCATGGTGTAGTGTCGGAACGGTCGGTGTAGGTACGGGTCGGACCGGTTGGTTTTCCACTGATGTTCCAGTCCGGTCCCAATGGGTGTGTTTTGGGCGGTTGGTGGAGGTGGTTTTTAGGTATTTTGAATAAAGATTAATGGGCAAAATGAGAGATGGAAACACATTTGAAGAATAACTTTTGAAATTTTAAACATTTGTAAAAATTAAGCCAATCAGTGACGAACAGTGTTCTGACGTCGCATTTTGGTGTCAGCTGGGGCTGCTTGGAACCACAATGAAGTAGGTACTTAAAAAAGGGCCGGTTCCATGAATCTGGCCTAATGGAAATGGCTTGGAACCGTACCGAACCATACCGACACTACACTAAGTGGCACTAGTGGAAAAGGGGCATTAAAATGAATCCCAGTAACCAGAAGAAGACAGAGTCAAGTTAAATGCTTGATCGGCAACTTTAGCTAAACCTGACTATAAAATAGGACTGGGCYGTATGACTGAAAAATGTATGATTATTGATATAGATAATTATTGATTATTTTTTGGTTTTACCTGTTTGAAATAAGAACCAGAAGAAAAACTGCTGATTAAAATTGCCAAACTGGTGACAGGACCTTTTCCTCTTCATCCACAATTTCCTCTCTAGCTGTTGCATCAACTCCTTTTACTCCACGTCGTTCTTTATTACTTTCAAGCAGTTGTGAGGCACGGTGGTGAAACATGAAACTGCTGCTGCGTTTGTTGCTCTGCAGGTTGTTAGTTCACCAAAGACTGAGTGAGTTAGTTGATGCCATCAACCTTGCTTAGCTGGGCCGTGAGAGGTCAAGCAGCTAAAGCCTTTCCTCTGCCTACATCCCTCAGAATGCTGTGTGGTTCTGGATCAGAGTTCAGTGAAATTATCAGCTATCTATCGAACGTATTTTCTACTGATATTGATGTGAAATTCTATCACAATGTATATTATTGTTTTATTGCCCYGCCTTCCAATGAATTAGATTATCTTTTCAAACCGCATCAAATAAAGGTGAGGTCATTTTACCAAGACAAGACATCCATATGAAGTGGGAAACGGCTCCGATTAAATCAAAGCTGAACCCATTGACCAGCGAGCTGGACTTAAATAGATGAATCTCGGAAGGAGCAGATGAGCAATAAGTACACAGAGGGATGTCCAAAAGGAGGAGTCAGGAGAGGCCAGCCAATCACAGAGGTGGAGCTGCAGTGTTATGCAGACAAATGGCCTCAGGCTGTAACATCGTGTTCACGTTGCTCAGTTTATTTCATGTTCTGCACATTCTAATGATGCAGAACGTGGCAAAGCTTTCACATAACCTCAGAAAGCTTCTTTAGAATTCTGCTAATGAGTTTAAAAGTCCATCATCCAGTCACAGCTGTACAGAGATGTTATTATAAGCATGGATCCCACCTCAGCTTTCAGTTTTATCAGTGTTTTAACTAAGAATACATGATCAGGTTTCAGTGCAGGGCTTTATGTGAGTAAACAATCATTTTTGTTTCCATGTCTAAACAATCCTTTTGTATTTAATAAGCAGTGAGAGTTTACAGGGTTGTGTTACAACACACCTGATAACAAGATTATAGATCATTATAACCCAGTTTACTGGCGCAGTTAATTAAAACATTATTTGTGCTTATCTTTGGGAAAGTGGAAGAAGAGGTTTCATGGGAACGAACACAAACACTGGAGAGAAATTAATTGGATTTTTTTTTTCTCTTTGTAAGAACTATGTTTTTCTTTTTTATATTAATTTATTGTGGCAGGCAACACGATGTGGCAAACTAATATTGATGAACTGCATGAACCAAGAACGTTCTTGCCATATTATTAACAGTATATCATATTTTGTACATATTGCTTCCAAAAACATGCTTGTTGGTCATTTTTGAAAGTTGTTTATGTCAGTAGTTCTGCTTTGTGAAGGACATACGTTTTTTTAATTTTATTTATTTTTTTACATTTAAAGAATTTTATTACTTGCTGTTGAAAGGCATATCTGACAAAAATGTTTTACCAATGTCTGGGTGTGTGTCTGTTAGTTCAACCCATTCTCACTCCCAGTTCGTCACATATTGACGCTTTTCCAAGMTTCCCTCTGCGTCCTGTTTTGACATGTTGTGTACCCCACAAGCGTCACTTATTGACGAGATGGGGCAGAATCCGTTGTCATAATTTCAGAAAGTGTAGAAAATGCACAAATCTAATCGTCCCAAAGCCTGAAATGACCTTTATTCGCTCTAGACATCCTGTCCCTGARCCTAGTACCTAAAATTAATCATCGACCCTGATAACTAAAGTTAACCATTTTTATGAAGTGTAGGAAATTCACGTCAGCTACATGTTCCAAAGCCTAAAATTACCTAATATTCACCCTAGTCATCCTATCCTTGACCCAACAACCTAAAATTAACCATTAATCCCGATCCCTAATATTAACCATGGACCCCAACTCAAGGACCCCTATATTTTGCGTCCCGACGCCTCAAAATCGGACGCCGAGGGAACCCGGAAATGCCTGGTGCGTCAGTAACTGACCTGAAGGGGTTACCTGATGCGTCAAAATAAGACACAGAGGGAAGCTTGGAAAAGCATCAATATGTGACGAGTTGGGAGTGAGAATGTGAGTTTGTTAATTAAATATCTTGAAAAACACTGATCAAATGTTAAAAATTTGGAGAGTTTAATAATTTCAGGTACATCAACAAATGATTAGCTTTTGGACACTAATYCATCCATAAAACTAATGTATTATTAATGTCCCCCTTTACAGAGGCGGGGGACATAGAAATGCTCTCCATCCACCCGCCTGTCTGCCTATCTGTTCACCTTATGAGATTATTTACATAATGAAGGCCTGTGATGATTCCAACAAAACTGCTAACAGCTGGTCACTACTGAATGTCCAAGCCCTAGTGACATTTACAAGGTCATGTGATCCAAGATGGCTGCCGTCGTAGCTGAACCTTACATCACATAAAAATGGCAGTAGCTCAGTAACGAAAGCAGCTACTGAGCTAAATTTCTTTTTGTAAGTATGGGCCAACACATACTGTACTCTGGGCATTTGTAGATTGCAAGTGATAGTTTTTTTTAATCAGATTTATTGGTTATAAATGGTGCTATCTGACAGTGTTTTGAAAATGCAAC